CAGTGGTTAACATTTCTGCTTCATATTCGGTAGGTCCCAGTATCAAACTACGCTGGCTGACAAGCTAAACAAGGAATATAGAGAAACTGCGACTATTATATAAAAAAAACATACAAACAATCTGTTTACACTCTAAATGACACTAGTGCCGAACGAAGTGTGCATCATCAACGACAAAAAGGGAATTAATTCATATAATATGATTAATACAGGTCCATGAGTGATCCACACAGCCAGTCTGAATAAACACACTTTAAAGCCCAGTGGAAAATTACCATCTGCTTGAACAAACAGTAACTTTTCATTTTGTATTAATGGGTTTTGTATTTTTCTCGCTGTAAACAGCAATTACTTCCCAATATCATGCTGCATTCATCAATACTTGATTTCTACCAGCAAACTGAATCTTCACACAGCTCACCTCTGTGCATGGTGCCAGCCCTGCTCCAGTTGATAGCTATTCCAGCCAATCCATCTACAAGGACTTGTGCACATGTTATTGAAGCACCTGATATTGACTGAACAAATTAATACATTCCTTCAACCAGAGGAAACTCGTATGCTGCATGAACACTCAATTATTTGCAGTCTTTGTTCAAAGCATGAGGTCACATTCTTCCACCCCTTTGTCTATACATTTCATCTCAAAATGTTGGTGTTCTATGTCTATACTAAAAAATGTACACCATCAGCATGTACAAGTTCTATTTCACATCTAACATCTTTCCTTGCAAAGAGAAACATTCTTGATTTTTAATTTCTCTCCCTCATTTCCTGTTACCATGTGTCCCTACCAGCAGCTAATGACTGCAATGTCTTTTATGATCTCAAGATTTAACAGTGACAAAGTAGAATGAATTTTTCCCAGGCTGCCTGCTGTGTCAGGCGGTTGGATGGAGAATACACCAAAGTATTTAGAACCAACTTTGTCCTCGTCCTCAGAATACAGAAGTTCAGTACCCTGAGGATGAGGATAACTCATTGAAGCACAGTTTCAGCTGTGTACATCATGACTGACAGCAATTCTGGAAGTTTCCTGTGATGAGTTTGTGTGATGGAATAAAGATGATGATGATGCAGGGATAGAAGCTTTTCGTAATGTTTACAAATGGAAAAATAACAAAATGGAAGTCAGAGATATTATGGAAGGATTTAAAATATTTTTTAGTAATGATATGACAGCAAAATGTCTTCAGAGGCAGGCATGGAAGGGATGACATGCACGTGTGAGCACATGTCATACGCTCTTATGAGGTTGTGAACCAGGATGGCCTACATAAAAAAAATCATTACACATTTTAGCATGTGATGACTACAGATATTTCTTGTATCATGCAATAAGCCTACATATGCAAGTGAATGAATGCCTGTAAAATTAGGAGGAAAATATGTATAACAAAATTCAAGAAAAAAGTTATAATGGAACCACGGTTCCGGATAATTTGATGTAAATACGTCTATACGGTAAGGAGTTTATATAGTGGCTTTATACACGCTTTACAATTGATTAAAGTTTGAGTAAGACAGTACTGCCTACCTTGAATTAGTTACGCTTAAGATGGGCCTGTGGTAGCTGAAATATGTTATAAAATTTGTACATTGTAGAGTATCAACATACCGTGTAAACACCATATCTATACAAGATTTTGATCTAGTAGTACTACATTGAGGATTTGACATCAACATTAAGCCAAACGTTTCCTCCATAAATGTGACAAAGCTTTGATTTTCCTCCTTTAAATCAATATTAAAAATTCCTGTCAATATTATCGGCATTGTATTAGGATCTTCTGTGGCCATAACTGAAAACATCTTTGTATAATTTCTCAAATGACTCAAAATAAATCTTTTACAATCATCAATATATTCCCTTGTATGTTCAGCATTAGTTTTTGGTATTTTCTTGGGAACTTTAGGTTCATTATTTAATACTTCTATTTTTCTTACGTTTTCTGTACTGTCTCATATATTCTGCGTTATGGAGTCTTTTAACTTCAATGTCAACCATCTTGTACATAGCAATAAACTAACGCAACAATAGATTTCTTAATAATTCTTATATAAGATAAGTACCTGTGAAATTGTAAAACGTTTTTACCAGCACAAAATTATCTAGTCTACGACGCACTTCTTCTACAAGCGATTCACAGCTCATCTCTTTCCACAATAACGAAAGTGGATTGTTGACAGCAGTAATGTAACACAACAATGCAGAGTAAACAGATGACGTTTCCTAGGTAATATAACAACGCATACAAGCTGACCATTGTTGTCAGTCCATATTTACAAATTGTTGATATTTCCTAGGTAACCATATTACACATTTTTCTTACACTTTTTTGCGGAATGACACTGACCCTTCCATATAGACGTACTAGTCCTAAAGGCAATGAAAGAATGTTACTGCATTACTTGAAACATAAGAAAAATTATATTTGACAAATATAATAATAATTTACAATACAGAAATGTCACTATAATATGATCTTGTTACACGTGAAATTGAACGAATTCAATTTCATACGTACAGAATACATTAAATTATTTCTTCACATTGGGGAGAGAAATTATGGTTCCCAGTAAAATTACACAAAATCGGGGAATCGAACATAAAGATGATCAGACTGGACAGAAATATATTGTTCTAATGAATGGCCGGTGAATTGAATGTGTGAAAAGTGACGAAGAAGAAAAACCAAGAATACATTAAATTATGTACAACATACCCTTCCACAGGTGCTAGGAATTTTGTGACACTATTTAAAAAAGCCGCAGGTCGCAAACATAAACAACTCTAGATGAAGATAACTTTGTTCTTTCAGCTTCTAGCTCATCTTCATAAACGACATTATGTTGAACTCACTGAACTAATGAGTATAACCTCACTTTGAGCCTTAGTGCAGTCAAAATAACCTGTATTTATCAACACACTATTTGTACAAAAGCTTTGGCACAAATAATAAACTGTTTTTAAAATAATATTTCCCAGCTGAACTATATTTTAAAACATATTTCTCCACTATATTATTTCCACGCCATGTCAATCGGCAACCAATTCAGACGCAAAATACATCTGAGCAGTATGTCACTTTTTTCGCTACGTGAACGGGTTACAGGTATGCACATGTGCTTATAATTAGTAAAGGTAAAAATCAAATAACTGCTGAATAATTCGCAAATTATAAACACTACTAATAATATATATTACACTAACAAATCAGTTTGACATTTCATGATGAAATCCATAGAAGTTTAAATTCAGGGGATGCTTGCTATTTTTGAGTCCAATATATTTTCTTCTGCCTAATATAATAACAAAGACTAAAGTACACAAAAGTGTAATTTTGGCATCGGGAACACTAAATTCTTGGACTATGTCAATCGTCTGTTTTTTCTTCTTCAAAAAAACACTGCCTTTCGTAAGCTGGATCAACTTCCTCGGTTTATCTTGGGAAGGGCACTTACTCGGATAGGTCGGACAGAGTTCCTCTGTCACTGGACCCGTCAAAATTGACTTGTAATTTTGCAAGTTGTGCTGTCTGGGTGTCAAACCTGGTCTCTCACTTTGAGGATCATGAATTGAGGGCCTTTAGGAATAGTTTTTTCAGGAATATATTTGGGCCTAAATGAGAGGGGAATGTATCACAGAGAAACTTGCACATTGAAGAGCATCATAGCCTGGAAGATTAAGAATTAGTTGGATCTATAACTGCCCTCCCCCAACCACTAACAAAGTGTGTAGCCAGACTTCTTTATTTTACTTACCATTCAATACAGTAGTTACTGCTTCTTGCATAAATAATCTGCATTGCCAGAGCACAGATCCCTGTCAGGAAGCAAAACTTTTTTAAATGCGTCTGATCTTTAATTGTAGTTCCATGTCCAGGTTTTTATGACAGCTTGGTTCTCTTTGGCAGGCTGCCATGCAAATACATCATTCAGTCTACAAACAGTAAACATGTTGCCACCTGAACAATTATGTTCAAGTATTGTGGAAAGAAACATTTTTAAGAATCACATGAAAATTTAATAGGTTTTCAGAACACATTTCTGCTGAATTGCCTTGTAATTTTGAATGTAAGACTAGGAAGTGACATGGTTACTTCAAAGTTGCTGCTAACAACCCAACAGGAGAAAAAGCATTATAAAAATTTGATTTTTGTTCCTGTAGGGGTAATATATCCACAACTTAAAACTACTTCTTGCCTTTTCTGCAGAGTCTGAATGAGTGTCAAGCAGTGTTGATCTACACCTGGGCACAGCTTAACTAGCATATATAGTCCTTAAAAGCATCATAATCATCAGTCTTATCAATATTTCAATGCAGGAATGAATTCCGAAACACACACTGTAATACTTAATACTTTCCTTACATGCGTTGGTCATTTCCCTGAGTTTTCCTACTTCAAGTGAGAATCTACCTGTATCTTTAAAGTCCCACTCGCGGTTCAATTTATGAAAAAGGTAAAGAGGGTGAGGTTATCTGTGTACTATATTGGTGACTATGGTACGAGTATGAATCCCTGTGCTTTAACTGATGACTCTATAATGAGATGTGGCAAATAGGAACTATACATCCATACATTCTTACCATTGGCAATGCACGGGGGTGAGTGCTAAGCTTCAAGCCCTCAAACAAACCACACTTATGTACTTCTCATATTCCTAGCATGTATCATGTGAAGTTTCCTGGACAAGCTTAGTATATTATCCTATGATAACAAATAGTGATTACATTAGCAGAAAATGTAAAATACATAGGAAGAACAATAAATACACCTCCGACTATGTAGGAATATCTTTTACAAAACACTCAAATGCTTTCTGCGTATGAAAGCACATATGCCGTCACTTAGATCTGCTTGTGACATTTCCAAGCACAGCATTCAGAAGGTGGGCTATTGATAACAAAGCCATTGCAACTTACACTCCTGTCTGACCTGCAAGTAACCTGAAGATTCGTATGATTATTTTGAACTATCAGTAATAAATGCAACTAAAATAACAAAAGTGACAAATGCTTAACACATCTTAAAATTATATAACATTCCCGATACCAATGAAACAATTATAAAATGTTTTGGAAGAAATAGACTGAATAAAATTGTTAAACCAAAAGTACATCACTGTCACTGTTTAGCTTCTTTGAAGAAAGAATGTTATACAGATAACACAACACGAGATGCAAGAAGAATTTATTGCATTTAGTGGCTAAGAAACTTCACGTCACATCATGAGAAGCTCATCATTTTATTAAACAAGAATGTGACTGCCCTCTGCCTCAAATGCACAAATACTATTCCCATCCTGCATAATATTCCTGTATAAAACAAATTCTCTTCTGATAATAGAAAGAGTTACATATATCACAAGAAGATGCGCAACCCACATGTATTGACTAATCAGATTATTCTATTAATGAATTCATTTAATATCACTGAAATACAGATTAGTAATGAGATTACGCTGGTAAAGGAATCATTTACGATATACATCTCATAAATGTGGCTGCTGTCTACCATGTATTAAGTTGATGTGTCTTCAAAGCACCCTTCTGAACGAACAATTATTTACGGACCTTACAGAAATATGGCAGCTGCCCACTGTGGATGCGTAAATGTATCTTAAGAACACTCCTCCAACTAAATGACCCAATACACAAATCACAGGAATATGGAGTTTCTCCACTGTGCGTACGCTTATGATCCTTCAGATTACTCTGATGACTGAATGATTTATTAGCCATCACAGGAATATGGAGTTTCTCCACTGTGCGTACGCTTATGATCCTTCAGATTACTCTGATGACTGAATGATTTATTAGCCATCACAGGAATATGGAGTTTCTCCACTGTGCGTACGCTTATGATCCTTCAGATTACTCTGATGACTGAATGATTTATTAGCCATCACAGGAATATGGAGTTTCTCCACTGTGCGTAAGCTGATGTTTCTTCAGAGTAATCAGTTGAGTGAATGATTTCTTACATACATCACATAAATATGGCCGCTCCCCACTGTGGGCCCGTAGATGACTCTTCAAAGCAACCTTCTGAACAAATGATTTCTTACACAGATCACAGGAATATGGCCTTACTCCACTGTGCGTAAGCTGATGTTTCTTCA